CAAAAGAGATCTGTTAAAAGCCCTGTGGGAGATTTTAGAGCAACTCCAGAAAGTTTACAGGGTTAGACAATTTTGTCAGAAGACATATTTAGGAGCCTAAAATGTTGGAATGTTTCAATTGCTTTGTCACTTTTGGTTCTTCATATAAAGTTAAATAAGTGGAGCTGTGTTTATATAAAATTTTAACTCCTTTTGTTCTAAGATTTCTGTAAGTTGGACCATATTAGTGATAACTCAGCAGACCTAAAGAAGCCATTGTAGCTCAAGAAATTTTTCACTAAAGTTTTTCTAGCAAAAATATGTTGGGACAATGGCAGGTTGGTAACAAGAGGTTTTTTTGGACTCCCTAGTTTCCAGGAGAGAAACAGAATCTAACAGGAAAATAAAAATAGCCCTTATAGAGAGCCAGAAAGGACTTCCATCCCATGGAGTCTAAGAATAATGATATCTACTCAGAATGGGGACTAAAAATCTGCTGGGAAATAATAGAACTACTCACAATAGCTGAGAAAGGGATAAAACCCATCAATCAACTAACGAATGAGGTATGAAAATGTAATACATGTACAAAACAGAATAATATTTCTCCAGAAAGAATGAAATCCTGCCATTTGTGATAACACAGATGGAATGGGAAGTGATTTTTTTAAGTGAAAGGAAGCACAGAAAGACTAGTACCATATGACATGACACATATGACATCTAAAAGAGTTGATCTCATAGAGATTAGATATGGAATAGTGGTCAAGAAATGAGGGGGAGAATAAGACAGGTGGAGAGATAAAAGGTTGATCAGTGGGTACTAAATTAACAATGAGATAACTGCAAAAAGTCCTGCTGCCCTATTGCACAATAAGGATAACAGACTTTATATTTTAATGTTCGAAGAAAGCATTTTAAACACTTCTCAGTACCAAGAAATGCTAAGTAAAACAGGAGCTAAATAGAAGTTAAAATGGTGAACATAAGTTTAATTCAGAAATGTTTCAAAAAGGAAAGAGAGATGCCAATATAAAAGTCAGTTCAAGTATAGAAGAAATAAGTGGGCATTATAGTCAAGAGGCATGGAGTTGGGTGGATTGAAAATGACTACAACAAGTTATGAAACCTAGGGAAAATTGTGGTTGAATAAGAACAGAGAAGGCCAAAGTAATCAGACAAGTGTTGGAAAGGAATACTTTTGATATCAAAAGCAAGTATATCTTCATTAAATTTACTTTATAGCATATACAGTTGATGATATGATGAAACTTTAATAAAAATACTTCAACAAATATTTCAAAAGAACAAAGGCATTTCTTTCCAAAATCATGTCATTAGTATAACCTAGAAATTTAATATCACATAATATACACATCATATTCAAATTTTCCCAATGATTATGAAATTATCCACCATGATTAATTTTTATCTAGTTTTCACATGCTGATAATTATTCACTTTCATTTGTTATCACTTTTACTTCCCTGACATCTAGAAAATTTCTCTTTCATTTTATATTTATTACTGTTTAAATTTTCAAATGTTTGATTAGACATTTTATAAAGTATACCAAAAGGTGAAAATTTTTTGATGATTCCTCATGACTGAAATTAAGTAAGATGACAGTAGTAACTGTGCTAAATCTCTGCATGTCATAAGAGACTCAAAATGTTGTTTTGTCTTGTTGCTGGATTAAAGATGCTCAGTTTCATAATTTGTTAGGAAGTGTTTTCTTTATCCTTCCATGGTAAAGATCTCAAGTTTGTTTGTTTATTAACATGTAATCTATTGGGTGAATTTTCTGTTCATCAATAATTTTTAAATAATTGTGGTATTATCTTTCCTTAAATTGAACATTATATTTTAGTTAAATAATACACTTGGAAGTGAACAATAGTGATCTTTTTCAATTACTATCTCATTTTATTTTGAAAAGAGCAAGTTTACCACAAAGTCTTTTTCTTTAAATGAACACTTAATAAAAATTTAGAACAGTCTCAGATTTATAGACAATTACAAGCTATAGAATAACCTCATATATCACACCCTCACATCAATGTATTATTGACATTTTACACTAGTATGATGATTTTATTAAAATAGTAACCAAATATTGATAAATTATTAGATACTGTTTATACTTTATTGAAATTTCCATACTTCATACCTAATATCTTGCTGTTAAAGATTACATGTAGGATACTATATAATATTTCATGTCATGTCACTGTAGTTTCTTCTGAACCATACCAAAGACCACCGAAATTTTCTCCTATATTCTTTTCTGGAAATTGTATGAGTGAATTATACACTCAGACCTATGATCCATTTGGAGTTAATGTTTGTGAAATAAGTAGAGTAGGTGTCTATGTTCATATTTTTAGCACATGGACATCCAATTCAGCACCATCTGTAGAAAGTCTTTCCTTTGTGCCTTTAACTACCCCTGCTATGTTGTGAAGGATCTATTGACTGTATTTGCATGGTCCTAGTCTGACTTCTCTACTCTAGTTCCTTTGGCTATGAGTTTGTTCTTTCAAAATGGCTTGCTGATTTGATTACACTGACGTTAGTACAGGCAAACCCCTTAGGGTTTGATGGAAAAGTTTAACTTCAGAAAGAAAGACACATAATTATTCTCACTGGCCTGCAAGTAGATTCTGAATTTTCATTCTCTTAATCCCAAAAGTTTAGAGAGCAAAGTATATATATACTGTTAAGCACTAGACCTTCACCATAACACAAGGAATGAATTTTCCAAAAGCTTCTCAGTGAAATCTAGGTAAGATAAATATTCTAGCTTATTTTTTTCTCATTGAGTTTATTGGTACATTTTAGGTATACAGTACAGTTACATTCATTATTGGGATCTTATACCTTTACATGATAGGTCCTGGTTCTCATTTTTTCTGCTTGTCCCTGCCCTCCCTTAACCCCCTTCTCCCCTCCCCATTTATAAACACTTTATTTCCATTTTTTCATTTTCTCATATTTTTTTTCTTTTCCCTTATTACATTTCCCCTACCCTTCCCACTTTCCCTACACCTTTAGTCATTTTCTTCCTATTTCACATTGTCAATTATCTCATTAGGATCTTATGTACTAATAGTTTTTCACACCAGAGAAACTATTCAGTATTTACACATGTGTGAATTTATTTCACTTAGGAATATACCATCAATATGTATCCATTTTCCTATTAATGAATCTAATTTCTCATTCTATTCTAACTTTATTATACTTTCAATTTTAGCAATCATAAATACTAGATTCCCTGAATTATTTATTGTTTGTATAAGTCATAGCTTTTAAGAGTCATCCTAATCTTTCTAGATCATCTCAAATTTGTATGACATATGGAGCTAGATTTAGATACAATAATGTAAGATTGTATTTCATTTTGATTATAAGAAAGAATTTCAAAGCATTCATGCAAGATTTAAAATTTTTGAAAAAATATTTCAGACATACATTGAAACTTTTATCTAATTTAACTAATTTCATGGTTTTTACTGAATATTTTAGACCAAACAAATTTCTAGTGATTTTATTTTGATGTTTTGATTATAGAAAACAAATCCATTTTGACCATAGAATTTATATGATTAGATTTGTCAAACTATGTTACAATGAATCACTAAGCAGTAAGAGGAAAAAGCCATTTAAGCAAAACAATATTTTAATTCAAATATTATTTTAGGACTTAAAGGACAGTCACCTTAATAAGTACTAAAATCTCAAGTAAACATCAGAGCCTATCTTTATTGGCATTTATGATTCTCCCCTCAGAAAACGTCAATTTTAATGAAACAAGGATATCTGTTGATGATGATTTTGAATTTTTTTGTAGATATTTCTTTAAAATTAACAGTATCTCTGATCCCTGGTACAAAAATAAAAATTAAAAAAATTAGCAGTACCATTGTACATAGGAAAAAAGAGATTCCTAAGGATCATTAGTAGAACAATGAAAAATCATTGGGTTGGAACTGAGATTGAAATTAATTTTGCCTTTCACTATACAATTTTAGAGTTTCTGTCATAGACATATTTAACAACTAGTTACAAAACATTTAAAATATAATAAGAAAATTGTTTAGATACCTGTAATTAAATAAAGCTATAAATTGTGGATTGTATTCTTATAGAAGATAAGGCCCCAAACTCAGAAAATAAGATCAGTGTCATGTGTAAAATTTAGAACCTTTACTAAGTAGATTTACATGCAAACTATGACTTACAAAACAAAGACACTAGAATACTTGGAAAAAATCAATAGGAATGTAATATAGAATATTCTTGTTTAACCTGAGCTTGATGGTTGACACCTGTAATCCCAGCACTCTGGAGTTCAAGGCCAGTCTGGCAATACCCTGTCTCAAGAAAAAAAAAAGAATATCAGTGTTTACAAAAACGATTGTGACATTGGAAAAAGTTTAAGACAGGTGATGGTCTATAGACATTTATTTATTTAGCTTTTCAAGATAATTTTTAAAAATTTGAAGTCTTATTAGTACTTTGCTATCTTTGTGCAATCCTTAAGATATAAAATATACACATCTGTAATGTGCTTTATTAAAATATTTTCTCCTCTAGAAAAATGTAAAAAACTTTCTTTCATGGTAGATAAAATAAACATTTAAAAAATTTAAAGTTGATTTAATGATCTAAAAACACTTATGATGAAATTATTTTAGAACAATAAGCCAAATATGAGTGTCCAATATTTTACACTATCCTTGCATAAATAAATAAAGATAACCTTTATCCACCTAACAAATTTTCCTTACTTTATCAAGACATTCTTGCAAATTTCCAAAGTCAAAATATGAGGCCATAGATTCTGACATTTTAAAAGAAGATTAATGTATTAATATATACATATATATGGCAAATTTCAGAGACTCTACAGGATGCTTAAAGAAGAAACTTGCATGGAACAAAATATAAAACCACAATTATATATCATCTCAATTAGAATCTTGTATCTTCATAATTTCTCAACAGATAAGGCAAAGATGACTGAGGAAAACCACTCCTCAATTGTGCAATTCATCCTCGTAGGATTCACAGATTACTCAGACCAGAAGACACTTTTGTTTATCTTGTTCTTTGTCATCTACCTCATCACCATGGTGGGGAATCTGTGTTTGGTGGCATTGATTTATATGGAAAGTCGTCTTCACACACCAATGTATATCTTTCTGGGCAACCTGGCTCTGATGGACTCCTGCTGTTCCTGTGCCATCACTCCCAAGATGCTTGAGAACTTCTTCTCTAAGGACAGAAGGATTTCCCTCTATGAGTGCATGGCACAGTTTTATTTTCTCTGTCTTGCTGAGACCACAGACTGCTTTCTTCTGGCAGCAATGGCCTATGACCGCTACGTGGCCATATGCAGCCCGCTGCAGTACCACACCATGATGTCAAAGAAACTCTGCATTCACATGATCATAGGAGCCTATGTAGCTGGAAATCTACATTCCATAATTCAAGTAGGATTTTTATTTAGGTTAAATTTCTGTAGGTCTCATGTAATCAACCACTTTTTCTGTGATGTTCTTCCATTATATAGACTCTCCTGTGTGGACCCTTATATTAATTTTCTAATGATATTTATCTTCTCTGGATCAGTGCAAACCTTTTCCATTACTATAGTTCTAATCTCTTATTTTTATATACTTTTTACTATATTCAGAATGAAATCCAAAGAAGGAAGAGGCAAAGCCTTATCTACTTGTGCTTCTCATTTTTTGTCTGTTTCAATCTTCTTTGGTTCTCTTCTTTACATGTATATTCGTCCAAGTTCTGTTAATGAAGGTGATAAAGATATACCTGTTGCTATTTTTTATACTCTAGTAATTCCTGTATTGAACCCTTTCATTTATAGTCTAAGAAATAAGGAAGTGATAAATGTTTTCAAAGGGGCTATGAAAAAGACAATTTTTGTAATGCACTGAAAAATTATCATTTCCCTTGTAATTGCAATTCACAGTAACTTTGTCTATATGTACAGATATTGGGACATAAAAAATAACTTTGAAATAAAATATTTCATTATTAAAGCATGTACTATTTCAGTCAAAGTAGTTTGGAAAATAGAGATTCTGCTAAAATGTGCTTCAAATTTTAAATTACTATAGTCCATCAAAATTAAACTATATAATTATGTCAGAGTGTAGTTAGTCAAAATTTGTAAAACATTCAATGAGTTCTAGGAATGAAAATATAGATGCATAGCCTCCATTTTACTTTCGCAAATTCTTCAATCTTAAATCCTAATAAAATTGATAGTTGAAGAAAAATGGAACTGAGGATGCCCAGAGTCAATGTTTCTGGAAATGAGTATATCACTAGGAGTGGGACATGGTGGTGAACAATGAGCCAGAGTCAAAGAGCAGAGGCTGAAAGCAGAGGCTGAAAGGAGGATGAACATGGAAAGTAAGGGTAGAGCTGGATTAGATTACTGAGAAGCCTGAATGTCATTCTAAGACATATGAATTTATTTAAAGGCATCTGCCACTGTAGACAACCTGGCAACAGAGAAATATGATTGTGTGTTTCAAATGATTGGTTACAAAGAGTCTAGAATGAGGCCAACTTCAATAATTCACAGATGTACATAACTTTTTAAACAAAAATAGTGAATTGTAACTAGTGTATATAATAAAATAAGGCTGTTCCTACTTCCTGTATTAAAAATTTTACATCTACTTTTAGATTTTCAGTACTCAAGCAAGACTTTTATGTGTTTGGCCATTTAATAAATATTTCCTTCAAAATATTTTCATAATACTGTTTTACTAAGTCATTACATTATGTTTGATTAGTTAATAATTTTTTAAATTTTAATTTATTTTCTAGTTAAATTAGAAAGTAATAGATATAACCTACACAAAATCTATTTAGACTCTTAAGTATGTTTTAAAATTATGGATAAAATAAAAATTGAAAGGGTCGATAAGCTTTGATTCAGATGAATACTCATATACCCTTGATTTTAGTATCCATTTGTAGTTGCAAAAATTGCATCTATTAATTTTCTTCCCCCTTTCTAGTAATATGCAGCATGATTTTTGTTAGCTATTGCTATATCACCCACCCACAAATGCCTAGGAACACTAAATTCAAAACATCTGTCATTGGAAGAATATGTGGCTCATTCCAGGCCAATAAGACTAAAAAGGTGATTTTTCTGGAAATTTCAGAGAATTTAATTTCTTCATTTTAAACATATCTACCAAAAACTAATCTTATTCTCTAAGAATATTGTGCTTTATGGATGTGAGTTCTGTGAAAGCCTATTTCCATTTTGCAATCAAAAGAAAATAACTGAAGGACTTTAGGGATTCAGCCAACACTGAAATAAAGATATAACTGAAGGAATCACAAAAACACAAATCTAAAATATATGGAATAAACTAGTCCTTTCAGCCATATAATCCAATGGATCTTTATAATATTTAAATTTATTTGAGAAATGTGGCTTATTTTTAATTAATTAAATACAAAATCTACATTTGTGTGTTGTGTAATTCGTATGTCTTTTTCTTCATACACTATATTAACTCTCACATAGTCTTTTAACATAAAAAAACTTTTCAATGATATCAATTTCATTATTCAGAACATATCTTATTGTTTACTCTCAGTATTACATTTTAATTTCAATAACCACACATTAAAAATTGATTGACATTGGAGCAGACTGGTGAGGACTGCTCAGCCAGCATGGGGAGCTAGTCCACTTCCCCACTCTCCAGCACCTGGGCCTTCATCAGAGTAGAATGGTGAGGACTGCTCAGCCATGCATGCACCCCTGCAACAATCTCCTGGGAAAAGGAAATGAGGATCCCAACCCCAGGAAGCCCAGCAGAATGAATCCATCAGGCATGACAAGAAATTAAACGCAATGGAACAGAATACACCAAAAGAAAAAGGTCATGACAAGGATAAGTTAATACATACCAGTTATAACCATCAATGTTAGTGGTCTCAATTCACCAACCAAAAGAAATAGAATGGATCACAATGGGTCAAGAAGCAAGATCTAACAATACACTGCATACAAGAAACACATTTAATTAAAAAAGAAACTCATGGACTGAAAGTTAAAGGTTGTAAAATAATGTTGCATGTGAAAGGAACAAAAAAAAAGTAGGAGTAGGTATCCTATTTTCAGATAAAATGGATGTCAAACCAATACTAATTAAGAGAGACAAAGGATACTACATCCTTGTACAAGGAACAATCCAAGAGAAAGAGATGACAACATAAATATATATGCATGAAGTACTAGTGCATCCAACTATATAAAACAAATACTAATGCACATGAAAAATCAAATAAGAACTAATACAGTTATAGTGAGGGACTTCAATACCCCACTGTCACAAATAGATCAACTAGACAGAAAATAAACAACAAAATAGTATAATTCAATCAAACTCTTGAACAATGTACTTAAGAGATGTTTACATAGTGTTCCACCCCACAAAATATAATACACATACTTTTCAGTGGCATATGGGTTGTTATCCAAAATAGATCACATACGTGCTCATAGAACTCACTTTAAGTAAAAGCATAGGAATTGAAATTATCCCTGTATGCTATCAGACCATAGTCTGATGAAATTAGAAAACAATCACAAAAGAAACCACAAGAATTTCATAAACTCATGGAATTAAACAACACACTTCTGAACAACCATAGGACACAGAGGAAATTAAATTTAAAAAATCAGAGAGTTTCTATAACTCAATGACCATGCTATTAAACTATTGCAATCTATGGGATAAAATAAAAGCAGTCTTACAATGGAAATTAATAGCAGGGAACATTCACAATAGGAAAATATCAAGCTCATATAAAACACCTAATGATAAACCTCAAGCATCTAGAACAAGAAGAGCAGTTCCTTTGTTAGATGAATGCCTAGATATATCATTTTTTGGATGCTATTGTTAAAAGAATTGTTTCCCTAATTTCTCTCTCAATGAGTCTGTTATTTGTGTACAAGAAGGCAATTGATTTTTGAGTGTTAAACTTGTATCTAACTACTCTGGTGAATCAGTCAATTAAGTCTAGAAGTCTTTTAGCAGATTTTTAGGTCTTCTATGTAGAGTATCATATCATCAGCAAATAATGACAGTTTAACTCTTTCCTTTCTTAACTTTGTTGCTTTAATTTCTTTCTCTTATCTAACTGCTGTGGCTAACTATATTGAACAGGAGTGATGATAGTGGACATCCTTGTCTTGTTTCTCATTTTAGCCTGAATGTTTTCAGTTTTTTACCATTTAGCATGATGTTGGCTGTTGTTTTTCATAGACAGCCTTTATCAAGTTGAGATAAAGATCATTTATTCCAATTTTAGGCAGAACTTTCATCATGAATGGGTGTTGATTTTATCGAATGGTTTCTCTGCATCTATTGCAATGATCATACTGTTTTTGTCCTTCAATAGGTTAATATAGTGTATTACATATGTTGAACCATTCTTGCATACCTGGCATAAAATCAACTTGGTAAGATGTATGATCATCGTGATGCCCTCTGCATTCTGTTTGTCAGTAGCTTATTGAGGATTTTTGCATCTGTGTTCATTAGGGTGATTGCCCTGTAGTTCTCTTTTTTGGATGGCTCTTCCCCTGGTTTTGGAATCAAAGTAATACTTGCTTCCAGGAATGAATTTGGAAGTATTGCTTCCCTTTCAAATTCATTATATCGATTGAAGAGCAATGGCAGTAGTTCTTCTCTAAATGCCTTATAGAATTCAACAGTTAAGCCAGCAGGACCTGGGCTTTTCTTTGTTGGTAAATCTTTAATTACATTTTCAATTTTCTGGATTGTAATTGGAGTGTTTAGAGTTTTATAAAATTTGATAATTCATATGTATCTATAAATCTGTCCATTTTTTTCTGTTTTCCATTTTATTAGAGTACCCATTCTCAAAGTATGTGTTAATGATCCTCTGGATTTCTCCTGAACCTGTTGTAACTTCACCTTTTTCATTCCTAATCTCACAGGTTTGAGCCTTTTCTTTACTTTTTAAAAATAACATTGGCTAAGGGTTTATCAATTTTTTTATGTTTTCAAAAAACCAACTCTTCAATTTGTTGATTTTTTTCATCTTTAATTGAGTTTATTGGTACATTTTAAGGAGACAATACAGTTACATTCATTGTTGGGATCTTGTACCTCTACATGACAGGTCTTGTTTCTCATTTTTTCCCCTTGAACCTGCCGTCCCTTCACCCCCTCCTCCCCTCCCCATCTACAAACACTTTACTTCCATCTTTTCATTATCTCACATTTTTTTCCTTTCCCTTATTAACTTTTCCCTACACATCCCACCTTCCCTACACCTTTAGCCCCTTTCTTCCCATGTCACAATGTCAGTAATCTTATTAGGATCTTTTGTATTATTGCAGTTTATTCACACCAGAGAAACTCTTCAGTATTTACACATGTGTGCCTTATTTATTTCACTTACAAGTATATCATCAATATGTATCCATTTTCCTATGAATGAATCTATTTTCTCATTCTTTATGGCTGAGTAATATTCCATTTTATAGAAAAACCACATCTTCTTTATCCAGTTTCCAACTGATGGCCAAATGGGCTGTTTCCACGTTTTAGTTATTACAAACTGTACTGCTGTAAAGGTAGGTGTGCATACATCGCTGTGATATGATTCTTTTAGTTCTTTTGGAAAGATATCCAGCAGAGGGATGGCTGGGTCAAATGAACCTCTAGACCTAGCTCTTTGAAGCATCTCCATATTGATTTCCATAGTGGTTGCACCAGTCTGCACTCCCACCAACAATGGAGAAGGGTTCCTTTCTCCCCACAACCCCTCCAACATTTGTTATTGATTGATTTCTTGATAGCAGCCATTGTTTGTGGGGTTAGGTGTAATCTCAATATTGTTTTCATCTGTATCTCTTGAGTGACCAGTGATATGGAATATTTTTTTCATATATTTTCTTGCTGCTTTCACTTCTTTGTCTGAGAAATGTCTGTTCATTTTGGATGCCCATTTTTGACTCAGGTCTTTATATTTGGGGGGGCTGGTTGTTTTGAGTTCTTTATATATTCTAGATAATAGTCCTTTGTCTGAGAAGCAGCTGGTGAAAATGTTTTCCCACATTGTAGGTTGTCTCTTAGTTCTGTTGATGGTTTCTTTTGCAGTGCAGAAGCTTTTCAATAAGATGAGATCCCAGTTTTTTATTCTTTCTGCTAGTTCCCACGCTACTGAGGAATTGTTCATAAAGTCTTTTCCTATGCCAATGTCTTCAAGAGTTTTGCCTAATTTATCTTCCAGCAAGTTTAGTGTTTCTGTAATAATATTTAGATCTTTAATCCAGTTTGATTTTATTTTAGTGCATGGTGAAAGGTAAGGGTCTAGTTTTAATCTTTGGCAGGTTGGATCTCAACATCTTTGGACAGTTGGGATAATGTGGTATTTTTGGCTAGTTAAAATTGAATCTATAGAGTTAGGCATTGCTCTATAAATTTCCTGTTCATCAGTAATTTTTAAATAGTTTGGTAATACCAACTGAAAATCCTTCTTTGACGTAAATATTTCATTTGAATCAAACAGTATATTTGAGAGTGGAAAAATGGCAATAATTTTCCAATTGTTGCATAATTTTATTCCAAATAGAAGACTTTTGCCACATATTTATTGGAAGTTTGAACTTCATCTGGGAAGTAGGTATTCATTTCAGCTGCTCATTTTTGGATTGGGTCATTAAATTTGGGAGATATGATTATTTTGAATTCTTTATATATTTGTATTCCTTTGAAGAGCATGTGGAAAATATTTTTTCATGGTTTATAACAAAGATATAAAACATAAATTACATATCCTGCAGCCTTGACAAACCTATTTATTGGTTTTAATGGTGTTTTATTTGCCTCCACAAGATTTTCCAT